TATATATATTAATGCTCACATGTATAATATAATATATTATTTTTTGATAAAATAAAATTTACAACATGCATGTTTACCTTTTGTGCTTTTTATTTATTGTATATGTTGATAAAAAAATCAAAATAGTAAAAATTGTAAGATTGTATATGTTGATTTAAAAAATCAAAATAGGAAAGATTAGAAGATCTATTTATAATTTTTATTATAAAAAATGTTTTAAAATAAATTATCATCTAAAAATTTATATCATATATTAAAAACATGTTTATATCATAAGTAAATTAAACTTGATTTTTATAAAATTTATCATATTTATTTTTATATTTTTATTAGTTTTAAATTATTATAAAGTAGGTATTTAAGATTGTAGTTTTAACTAAATATTTAAAAAATGTTTATGCAGATAAATATGTCATATTTAGAACATGTATTTTTAAAGAAAGTTAGGCTCAAATATATTAAATTATAATATAACATAGTCTGACCTAATTTATTTTCATCCTTAATCGTGATTATAGATATAAAAACTTATAAAAAAAATAATTATAATATATATTTATACTTTTAAAAATTATATATAAAATTTTTAATATTATAAATATATAAATAAGTATTGTCCCCACTATCTAAAATTTCTAGATCCGTCACTAGTTAGATGGGAAAATATAAGGTGATATGAGACACATCCCAACGGAAAACAGAAATTTTGGTACTTTTCTAAAATGTGTTGTCAGATTGTATTTGATGGAATATACGATATCAAATATCACATTAATTGAAATGTAACAAGTCACATAACAATACACATTACATCAAAACATGTAGATTTTATAATTTGAGAAGATCGTGATATGAAGCCACACATTACATTATTTAATATTTTTTATAAAATGTGTAGTTGAACTACATTTGATAAATACATACAACATCAAACATCACATTAATTAGGAAGGCATAAACTCCACAACAACACACTACATTAACATTAGATATTACAAACAAACATTACATCAGAAGATGCAGACTCTAAATTTTCAGAAGATCGAGATGTAAAACAACAAAAATGAAACACACGAGAAACTACAAGTTGGCGTGAGGACACATGCACAGCCTAAAAGGAAAATTTTAATATTTTTATGAAATCTGTATTGTTGGCTACTTTTAATGGTACATATTACATTAGTAAAATGCAAGCCATACAAGAGCACAAAGTGGTGTGGCACGTGTTGAAAAGAGAAGGGACGCCTTTAAAAATAATAGTGAACTGGTCTGAGTTGCTACTTACCGGTTCACTGGTTAAATCGAAAAACTGGTCGGTTAATACCAGGTCAATAGCAATTCCGATCGAATTAGTAGCTCAGACGATTAAAAATATTATAGATCTTTTAAATAACACTGAAATGTGCGAAAATAACAAATTGAAAAGATATATTTCCGCGATTAAAAAAACACTGCACTAAAATTTTATTAGATGAATGAATAATATTACAAATGGATCATATAACACACTGCTACAGAAATTTACAGGCTCAACTGGGCAAAGAATAACCAAAACGCCATAGATAGAACCTCTTGTTAAACCAAGAGAACAAAATTCGACCACAATAAGAAAAAAACAAGAGGGCAAAAAAAAAATTAATATGGCCTAAGCTAAAGATCTTTGAAACCTCAAAAAAATATGGTATACCCTGTGGGGAATAAATAATCTTACCAATCCTTAAAATCCTGGTAGAACAGTAAGGTCTGCTATTCCTTTAGGGAGTTCAGCAATTCCTTTTAGCAGAGTTAACCTGTTTACTCTGATCCTGTCATCGTCCTATGTTACACCAGAAAGAAAAATAGAGTACTTACCCCGTTAAAAATATTTCTATTTTGGTTATACAACTCAAACTACAGAGAATATATAAGACAAACTTTACAGTCAAAAACACAACTATACAATAAGAATAAAAACATAATTTTATAACAAGAATTCCTTATAAAACTAAGTTTGGAAGAAAAGCTCTACAATATCAAGTCCTTTAAAGGACCAGTATTTCTGAGCCAATTTTTTCCTGGACTTTATGCTAGGTTTGTAACCAGTCATCGATCAATTCAATTACCATGGAACACTACTTCAAAAGTGATTGTATTCAGAGTCAGCACAAAAATATTAATTTAACACCCAATAATTAATCATATAAGAGCAGTAGGATTAACATACCACCATTACGAAGACATTATTAAAGAAATCCTCGAGCGGCTGTATTAGTTGACATGAAATTTCAACAAATTCATCAATGTCAAGACCTGTACAAAGAAAATTATATATCATAATAAATACGAAAAATGAAAAAGAAATTCAAGTGTAAATGGTAATTAATCATATTAAATATAGTGCCAAGTTAGAAAAACATCATATTTCCTAATTATAAAAGGCCAATGATTAGTAGATAATACCACCAATATGCAAAAAAGCGAAGATATATAAAAAGTACCAGGGTTGATACTCTTTTTAACTGACAAAAATGTGCTCCATAAAACTCTCTCTTCATTTGTCACAAAAGAAGCTTCATCCACCTAATCATGTAAGTTTAAGCATTAAGAGAAGAGAAATGACAAAAATAATACACGTAGTAGAAGGGAAAGGCAGAAGTCATTCATATAAATAAATGATCATAATTAGATCAAATATAAAAATTCAAACAAACTATTAGCTATGTTCTCATCATTGTCATTCAACCTACAAACTTCAGCTCCAAAAACAGAGTAACATTCCTATACTTCTAGGATTTAGTTTAGGTCATCTTCCCCTGTTGCTCATGTTTCAGTTCAGTAATACTGATATGTCAATTTTAAACCTTAACCGGGAGCAAAATTGTCAAACCAAATGGGAAAATGAGACTATATGCACAAATTTATTATAAATTTTCGATATGTTCATGAAATCCACAAGATAGTTGACTAGAACTCGAGTTAGCATTACCACCCAAATTATTGCTTTGGTCTACTTTATGCTTTAGAATGAGTGAAGACCCATTCTTAAATTTATTCCTAACTATTGTGGCTTTTATGTTATGCATAACTCCTACAACTTGTTCGTACAAGATTTAACTGTAATTTGGTTATCTCCACGTATTTACAATTAATTACAAAAAAATTACCTCCAAATGGAGTTCATCTTCCTTTCCACGGACAATTCTTGTCGGCCGGGAGTATGCTTCAATTACTTTAGGAAAAAGGCTCCCTCTTGATAATTCTTCCATCTAAATCAACCATTGTAAACAATCAGGAATATATAACATTTATAAACACCTTTCGAAAGCAAGGTTATCAAATCAGGATTCAGATCGCTGAGCTAATTTTTGAATCATGAATCATAATTTGTATCAAATTGTAAGATTCAGAGGTAATGAAAATTACTTCAAATATATCATATAGATGATATATAGTGTTCAATGTAAATTTTTTTAACTAGAAATAGATAAAAACAACTCAAGCAGGAATCTTGTATAACAAAATTATTAGTTATATATAGTTATATGAGTTTATGAAACCTTTATTTTAGAAGAATGAAAATGAAACAAGTAAATAGCTAATAGAATATACACAATGAATGAGTGAGTGAAAAATTGAGTAATAGAATAATCAAATAGGATAATTACAGAAGTTTTCATTTAATTCCTTTTCATTTAACAATTTAAGCTTACATGACATTTCAATTTTTTTCATGAGTGAAAAAAAAGTAAAAAAAGAAGAAAAAAATAATGTTGAATTATCGATACGAAATTGCATAGATTCATTCATGTATAGTAAGATACAAAGTCATTTAAGATTCATCTTATGATATGAATCAGTAGATAGCTGAATTCTATCGATAGTAAGATACAAATCGTGAATAAGAGTAGTACTTTGGAATACAAATCGGTTAACTCTAAACTTGATCTTTGGAAGTATACTTTGGAATCAAAACGTTTATATTCTTAATAGGAGTAATAAATAGTGTAGTATATACATTGCAATTTTAACAAGAAATATGAGGAAGAGGACTTGGAAGTAGTACTAACAATGGGAGATGACATACCCCAAGTTTCTAGGTTTAAATATCTGGGATCAATATTACTAAATAGTGGAAAATTAATGAAGATGCCATCGATAGGATACAAGCTCAAAGGTTAAAATAGACATCAGGAATTATCTGTCATCGCAAATTACCTACCAAGCTTAAAGGGAAATATTGGCAACGATTGCATATGAAGAGATATTGGTATGGCACCAATTGAGAAAAAGAGATTAAAAAAAATTAAGGTAATTTGGACACATGCAAAGGCCACTGGATTTGATATTAGACCACCTTTAACTGTCTAGAACCTACCTAAACCCTACAGGTTTCGCGGTGAAAAATCTACTGGGCCCCTAGTGCAATAACTGCAACAATAAAAGACTTATTTACATGGATCACATGACACCATTTGACTTGGTACAAAACCAAATCTTAAAAGATATTATTATTCACTATGAGATCTCTCTTACAACTTCTTACAATGTCCTTGTTTTTCATTTCCCCCTTTTCATAGGGCTAAAAGCCATACAATCTACTCTCAGCATTGCTGCTTCCAATGACCTTCTTTGTGTGTGCCCAAACCACTTTAACCAAATTTTTGTCATCTTCTCAATCGGTCAGTTAAATATCAAAATTGATCTCTGAAAATACTATTTTCCCTTCTATTTATCCTAGAATAAAATGTAGCTAAGAGATAACATATTTTATTACTCAAAATGCAAATTACCATTCATCAAAGAACCATCATAAGTTAGCTAATCAAGAAAAACAATTGAGAGAATATATCAATTCTACATCAAAGGAATACGGAGTAAAATGAAAGAAGGATACTTACTTTATGAGCCGATTTTGCGGCGAGACAGGGAAAATTTGCTCTTTCTATAAGGATTGAACGAACAAATTCTGCACTCACCCCCTTGTCAACCTGTTAACAAAATGAAGCAGCATGGTAAAACTCACCTGACCATCCTCAGGATCAGAGCATGTCATAAAAATCATTACAAATCATTATGAACAAATACATCAAAACATATTTACGGCACATGTTCTATAGAAAATATATCAGTGATGAAATAGTTGGTGTGTAAAACCATCAGTTATCCAACTATAGTATTGAACTAATGAAACATTTAGCAATTAGGATCCAACTGCAAGGTCTAATATGTGGTATGATTCTTCCATGGTTCTTATCAATTGGTATAATACCTATTCACCATGACTCTCATCTACAAAGAAGCAGCACATATGTGGTCTATGGCAGGATGTTAGGATCTAATTGGAGGAAATATGGAGTAAAGATAAGGCAATTAAAGAGTATATAACTGTAAGATATACTTGAGTCCCACATTGAAATTATCAGATTCTGATTTGGGGTTAGATTTTGTGGTATGACCCTAAGGTTCTTATCAAATGGTATAATAGCTTTTCACCATGACTCTCATCTACAAACAAGCAGCACAAATGTAGTGTATGGCAGGATGTTAGGATCTAATTGCAGGAAATATGGAGTAAAAGAGAGAGATAAAAGTGTTGTCCGCTATATGCCCCAAACCTGGCTCTGATGCCACATTAGAAAACAGAGAGAGAGAGAGAGAGAAGAATTGACTGAATATTCTTTATTATTGAGAAATATAAATTGTGTGTTCTGTTTACAATAGGAGAGAAATTATATATAGGTAGTTGCTGTTGCATACATGACACTCCTTAGGATAGTGTACTAAAGAAGCTTTATAACAGAGAAAGTAACAAACCTAACAAAATAAAGAAAAGAATAGAATACAGCAAGCTCAGCATAAGAGCTTGTGCACCCTACTGTAGTTGTTAGGATATAGAATAAAGGGAATTAAAATAGTTATTAGCTAGAAAGACATCATGGGCTAGGCCCATCACATCTATAAATGGGAGGTTATTTGGTAGAGGTGAGACATTTAGATTTGTCCACATTTGTAAATTGAGCATTAGCTCTTTGTGAAAGGAGAAATCCTTTGTGAAGGGGAAACCCTTGGAGGAGATATTTCTCTCCTATTTTGTGTTCTTTTCAACATATTCAATAAAATCTTTCTTTTCTTTCTCTTTCCTAATTATTGGTTCCTAGCAGTAGTATGCTAAAAAAGTATACTAACCATAATAGTCAATCCCGGATAGCGGAGCAGAGCGGTCGACCCTAAAAATGGGATAGCGGGATGACGCG